GCATCAATGAGGTTCCTTCTTGCCTTTGACAACTGCATGACCTTCAGCAAGCTACCTACTTTCAGTGGGCCGCTTGCCCAGACCAGAGGCTGGGAATAGAGCAGTGTTTCTCAAAATATGGGCCTTGGGCCACCGTTAACAGATGGTAAGGTCAGGGGGCTTGTTGAGAATCTAGATTCTGGGACCGACTTTAGACCTAATGAATCAGAATCCTGGGAGTGGGATCTAGGAATATGCTTTTTAATCCAGTTCCTAGTCAGTGGTTCTCAAACTTTGCAAACCTATTAAAAATCACCTGGGGAGATTTAACAATCCTTGGATTAAGGCCACACCACACACCAACTAATCATCATCTCTGGGGTGGGACTCAGGGATCCGCATCTTTTAAAGTTTTCCAGGTGATAACAACTATCTACTATGAGTAGCTAGTCCCTAGAAGGGGATCTGCTGGATCCTGAATTTTACAGTCGCTGAATTAGACGATTTCTGACGTCTCTCTTTGCCTTTAACAATTGTATGAGCAAGCTACTTACCCATCAAGCCAATTGGTCAGATAAGGGCCTGGGACTACAGCAGTGTTTCTCAAAGTGTGGGCCTTGGACCAACTTTAGCAGAATGGTAAAGTGCTAGCACTTTCTCCATGTTGGAAGTAAGCCACCCTTTTAAAGCCTAAGCCACCGATTGCCTTTTCTCTTTTTTTTTTTTCAAGACAGAGTCTCACTCTGTTGCCTAGGCTAAAGTGCAATGCCTCAAACTCCTGGGCTCAAGAAATCCTCCTGTCTCAACCTCCTGAGTAGCTGGGACTATGGGCATGCGCTACCATGCCCAGCTAATTTTTTCTATTTTTAGTAGAGAGGGTGTCTTGCTCTTGCTCAGGCTAATCATGAACTTTGACCTCAAGGGATCCTCCCACCTTAGCCTCCCAGAGTGCTAGGATATAAGGCCCGAGGCACCGCACCTGGCCTAGGACTGCCTTCTCTTAAATCTTCCTTTGAGCATGGAGGGAAAGGCAATTCAGGGCTTCTAGGTCAAACAGAACAAATCTGTAGTTGAGCAGCTGCTATTAATAGGAAATACCTGAGAGAAATTGAGATCTTAAATCGAAGTAAGATCTCCCACAGCCAATTCTGGTCATATCAGCTTTCAGACAAAGTGCCTCAGCACCTCAGTTGTGGGAGTTAATGGCTTGTAATTGCCTAGGTGGCCTGAGGCTTGGAAAGCCTCTGGAGAGGCGGTCTGACAGGCTGTGTGACCTTGAGTGGTCTGTGATCTAATCCAGGGGATGGGTAAGAGGCTTTTAAAATACAGGTTCCTAGCTGGGCATGGTGGCTCACGCCTGTAATCCTAGCACTCTGGGAGGCCGAGGCGGGCGGATTGCTCAAGGTCAGGAGTTCAAAACCAGCCTGAGCAAGAGCGAGACCCCGTCTCTACTATAAATAGAAAGAAATTAATTGGCCAACTAATATATATTAAAAAAATTAGCTGGGCATGGAGGCGCATGCCTGTAGTCCCAGCTACTCGGGAGGCTGAGGCAGAAGGATCGCTTGAGCCCAGGAGATTGAGGTTGCTGTGAGCTAGGCTGACACCACGGCACTCACTCTAGCCTGGGCAACAAAGTGAGACTCTGTCTCAAAAAAAAAATAAAAATAAAAATAAAAAAAAAGTACAGGTTTCTGGGCAGCTCTAACCCGGAACCTAGTAACCAGAATCTCTGGGGTAGAGTGTGAGGGTGTGTTTTTAAACGAGTTCACCAGGGGATTATTTTACAACCAGCCTGTGCAGCCACCAGTCAGACTTTTAGGTTGAGTAGATTTGATGACCTTTTAGAGAGAGTACAGAGTATGAAAAGTAGTACTTCTTTTAAGAAACTTTTTTTTTTTAAATCTCATGCATACTGTCTTTACTTTGATGGTACTTCTGTCTTTACTTTGGCTGTTGGATGCTCAGAACCAAATTTGGGGCCCACCTTTAGCAAATAGGTGAACAGTATGCATTTTTGTACTAATTGTACTGATGGGCTTGTTGTATTCTTGTGCACTCATTTTGTTTTTCCTGTTTTAAACTTTATATCTTATTGTAGTGTATATATATTTGTGTAAACCATTCTCCAGGCAGGTGTATATGGGAAGTGAGGAGAGGAGGGAAGAGTGGAAATGAAGGAAAGGAGGGAAAGAATTAATATGTTTAAGGGTCAGGAGTCAGGCCAAAAAAACTATACTCACTGTTCTGAATTACTGGTGACATTTCTGAATTGTGATTTTCTTAGTTTTCCTGCCCCTAGTAACAGGCTCTTTTCCCTTTTCTTCTTCCAGGTTTGATACCATACAATTTCATCTGTGTACAGACAGGCTCCATCCTGTCGACCCTAACCTCCTTGGATGCTCTTTTCTCCTGGGAAACTGTCTTAAAGCTGTTGGCCATTGCCTTAGTGGCATTAGTTCCTGGAACCCTCATTAAAAAATTTAGCCAGAAACATTTGCAATTGAAAGAAACAAGCAGCGCTAATCATATAAACAGAAAAGACACGTGATCTGGGTTTTCTGTTTGCCCCATCCCTGGACTCTTGCTTATTTGTGTGATGGGTGTGGTCCTCTAAAGCCCCTCATTGTTTTTAAATTACCCTCAACAGGTGATTGTGCAGTGTCTTGTCATAAAAGACACTCTGTGCTCCTGAAGGTGAATTGTGTCAGGTTTTAAAACCAGTCCCGGTTTAGCAGGACACTCTGCAAAATGGATGGCCCCTTAGAAAGTCCTGTTCATACTTTATTGTCTAAGAAGGAGTTCAGGACAACCTGTCTTATTTGCCTTGGGAGAAGATGTTGATTGTCCTTGTCCAGAGTGCCTCTTTTGGAAAATGACAAGCTGTTGTGATGGGTCTCTTCTTGTTATGTCCTTGTGGATGTGATTAGTATCTATGATGACATGTGAACCCACATTGCTGACATTGCTCTTCATCTTCTATTAATTTCTTGAAGAGTGTTTCTTTTGTACTTTTTTGCTGATGACCTACCTCTTCCATAAGTAAAGGGAAACAAGCCAATGAACTGCCTAGGACTTCCACATGTAGCTCAAATACACAATGACTTCTGTGATGCTCTTTTGTTCAGACACGTTGATCTTACCATGTATGTCACATTTCACAGTTGCATGTCCTGACAGTGAAGCTGATTACAAATAGACTATTAAATATGAATGGAACAAACTCTATGTTATGGATATGTTCTGGAAAAATTCTTATCCATCTGGATTGGAGGGGTGGGGAAGGGCTCTTGACTCACCTGAATCAAATGACCATCCATAGTTTCTTATCCGTCCTTTCTGCGTGGCAATCCCTTCTATGTTCTCCTTCTAAGAGAATGGATTCAGTACACTAGGCTATCAGCCAGTATACCCTCTGGATGTTTTTCATTTTTTATTTGCCAAGAATAACTGAGGAATAATTGTATTTTATCTTTTAGGAGGAAAAACTTGGTTTTTCAAGGAGGAAAAACTTGGTTTCTTTTTTTTTTTTTGAGACAGAGTCTCACTCTGTTGCCTGGGCTAGAGTGCCGTGGCATCAGCCTAGCTCACAGCAACCTCAAACTCCTGGGCTCAAGCAATCCTTCTGCCTCAGCTTCTCGAGTAGCTGGGACTACAGGTGCACACCACCACGCCTGCTAATTTTCCTATTTAGTAGAGACGGGGTCTTGCTCTTGCTCAGGCTGGTCTCAAACTCCTGAGCTCAAGCGATCCTCCTGCCTCAGCCTCCCAGAGCACTAGGATTACAGGTGTGAGCCACTGTGCCCAGCCTCTTTTTTTAAAGTAATTTTTTATTCTTTTTTTTTTTTTTACTAATTGACAACAGTTTTTATAAGAAAAATTGGTTTCTCATTATTTTGTTGTGTCTTAATTGCCTATAGCTGTCATTACTTCCTATAGCTGCAGTAGGATTGGCACAGAGCAAGGTTAATACTTCCAAGGACAGAGGAACCTTGGCACCCAAACTAACCAGCTCTATGGTCTATGTACCCTGCAGGAGTAACTCACCATGACCTACCAGAGCTGTTGCTCTTGGGCATCGTTTGGTGGGTTTATGATTTGGCATGGCCAAGAATCTTGCCTAGGCTTTAATCTAGGCCTCTTGTTTTATTCTTGGGAATACTCATATTTCATAGGAAGAATGGATTCCCAAAATGTTTTTAGACATGGTATGATCCTTTCACATCAAGGATTTCATTTTAAAAAATGTGTTTCTTTAAAAGAAACCTTGGTAATGAGAGTAGGGTAAGCAGGAGGCTGAAACCAGAGGCTCTTAGTGTTCTGTAGGAGGAGGAGGGAAGGAGAAACAAGGATGTTCTCCACGTATTGCACATGCGTGTCCTTTGCCCCTTTCAGGATCCTTAGGTTTGTCTTCCTCCCTCCACTCCCACAATTTTGCAACAATGTGCCTTATCAGTTGTGAGTTTACAGGCAAAGCAATTTCCCAAATAAATGAATATCAGTGTTCTGTGTGGTGCTTTTTTGTACATGTTGCTAACTTTCAACTACCCTTGCCATTGGGAATCAGGATGGGCTGAAAACCAGACAATCCAAAATGGTGCTTTAGCTTTCTACTCTCAGTATGCTTCTTACCAAATCATTGTTTGGAAGCCAGATTTTCCTCTTCTTCTTTTTCCTCTTTGTGCTCCCTTTATCTTGGGGTCACTAATAACAAAAGTAGCTACCAGACGGGCAGCAGGAAAGCACAGAGAAGAAGCAAGGGCCTGCCTAGGCTTGTACAGAATTCTCAAGAACAGACTTTAATCAAAGAAAACGATGGTTGCCTCTTGCTTTTGTGGTTGTGTCTAAAATGCAGGAGTCAACAGAAACCTGCTTTCCCCCTCACCTGATTTTCCTGGCTGCAGGAAACCTACTCGTGTAAAGCCTTCCTCTCCCTAAAGTTCTGACAGTTGCTGAGACTTGTTAAGGCAGCTCTCAGGACACAAACAGTACATTTAGGAAAAGACAGGACCAGGCAATGGTGAAGTACACTTTTTGTTTAATTCCATGCATTCATTTGCTTTGATAGTCGTTCTTGTTCCCATCGCTGTCCAATACAAAGAGGGAGCCGGCATCAGAAAACAACACTGGGAACGGGACATGAGGGAGTTCATTTTGAGATTTAACCACAAAAAAGAAATTCAATCTGTTCAAATCGATAGGAGTTCAAATTATTGTAATAAAGAAATCAAAGACGGTCTTCCCATTTCTGGAGTCTGGGAAGTGGTCATTCAGGAAGTGAAGAGCCACTGGGTGACATCTTCCTAATAGCTCACACATTCCGGCCAGGGTTCCCTCTGGCCTGCAACCATTGGAGGACCCTGTCCACCTGATCACCGCACAGCAGCCATGGGCCGGGAGCCAGCGATCCCCTGAGTACTGTGAAGTGGCTCTGGAGAGCAGGCCTGGGATGCTGCTGGAAGCTTCCTTACAGTGGCCTTGTCATCTGCTTGGGGCTTGGCTCTGTGTGAAATCCTGCCATCATGCCCTGCTCACTTGATGGTTAATAAACTCTTAACCCAGCTCCTTTGGTGTAACCCTGTTTCTCCAAGCAGTGATTTCAGAGCTCCCCTCTTTTGCCACCCATCCCTGAGAAATGCTCCAGGTCCCACGAGGGTCCTCCACTTAGCAGCCTTGTTCATTCCAACTTGAATAGGCGTTTGCAATATCAGTTGTAACATGCAAACAAGCAGACTAATATGACTCTAATGTGCCAGTCTGTAAGGTCGGTAACACTGGTGGTGTGAGTATACTGGGACATTTGTCCTATAAAATCAGCAAAGAAGATGAATCTTGCTGCCTGGAAAGGCACTAAATTCATACTGACAGTATAAGTCAAAGTCTTGAAAAGAATGTCATATCATTTTGGTACATTAGTCTCAGAGTGTAAGAAAGAAGCAAGTAACTGAGACTTAATATACTAACTTTCTGTTTATAGAAGGTAAGGGAGGAATGTGCTCATTCAATACAATTAAATGATGTGAATGATAAGACATTTTGGAATTTGATCCATCAGTGATTGATGATTCTTCAACTGGAAAATTGTATTAATAGTCCAAAAGGGTAGAGGCAAGTGGCCTTTCCCCTGCCAGTGGCACTGCACCTGACAGCCATTGGTGGGATCCTTAAGGAGAACTCTGATGTGAGCCTGTCATTCTTCATCAGAGCTAACTCAAGAGCTCAAACCACCTTTAGGAAATTAATTATGAACTTTGAGCTAGGATGGTACATGGATTTCCCCTTGTACATCAATTCTGATCAAGTGGTAATTATTGCTCCAAGTGCTATGTCATGAGAAGTTCTGAGGCTCTGTCTGTGCTCAGTAGGAAAGGACGTGGTGCTCAATAATGTTGGCCTTGGGTGTTTGGGATGGAGGTGGTAGATGGTGGTATGTGCTGGTATTTTGATTTCTGGCTCATTGGAAAAACAAAACAAAACATGGTACACTCTACTGTGGAGCAGGGCAGAAATTCCTTGGATTCCAAATATTATGTTATGGAGAATTAAAAGGAAAAAAATGGAGACATAAGGGCATTGGGGGAAAAAAAAAGTAAATCATCTGATCAGTAAGGATGCATTTACTCTCAAAGTATGTCAGTGGTCCCTAGTGAGAGAATAGTCTAGGTTGGTACGAGGAAAATCCAAAACACATCTATTACTTAGGGAAGGAAAGGGACATAATTTAGCACAATGAAGTCCTATAGTCTTACTAAATCCTACTAAAAATGTCCTTTTTTTTTAATTTTTAATTTTTTAAAAATTTTCCTCCTTCCTCCTCCTCCCCTCCTTCCTTCTCCTAAAAATGTCCTTAATTCTAGAAAGATAGATCTGTTGATACTGACATTTTTAAATACAGTATCTGAACTTCAAGTAGGCCATACAAATCCTCTTGCAATAGGGCTGGCGTCTTTACCTTTCTGAGTGGGAGCTCCCCACAACCTTGGAAACAAGTCTAAACTTTCATGGTGGTAAGGTCCATTATAGTTTCACAGTAGATCCAGGCTTCTCAGTCCCTCTGCTAATGCAATTTTAAGAGGCATTGTTATTCAGAGGACATGATCTAGAAATATATGGAAATCAGAACCAAATGCTCATCTGCAACACAAATTAAAACTCATTATTTTGCAGTCAAAACCAGATGGTAAATGCTAAATGAATGTGGACATTCATCCCAATGAAGAAGCTTGACATCAGTCTTGTGAGGTTCCTTGGAGTACTGCTGCACAGTTTTCAGGACTGGAAAATTAGCTCATGAATTCTCTGAACTCTTGATTCAACACTCTTCAGATGACTGTGGAGTTCTCAAAGAAACGTACATCAGTTCAAGATTTTCCTGCTCATCACAAGGCAGGCAGGGAATGGCCAAGCTGGGATAGAGAAGATATTTCCCTTTTTAACCTTGACTAAGGACACTGTTCTTCTCTGAAACTTCTAGTCAATTCTACTCAACAAATGTGTTCAATGTGGACTTTATTCAACTCTTGACAATACGATGAATGACTGAAGATTCAACCATTGTCTACTGCCATAACATACTCAGAACATTTAATCCAGATAAGGTGTATGGCATTAGCATAAAAGATAGTCAAGATGGGAATTCAAATAACTGATAAAAATATGAGGCATCTGGGGTGGGTTTTCTAGGAAGACCATCACTGAAAGGTATAAGACAGAACTTGACCCTCATGTTTCTCTGTTGCCTCTAAAGGTGGGCAAGAATTGGACAAATTGAAGTGTCAGTGTTTCATTTTTGACAGTGGTAGCATCTCCATTCCAAGGAGTAGTGAACCAAAAAAAAAAAAATCATAGTACAGTGTGATCTGAAGTCAGAGGATGGAAAATATGGCCTTTCAAAGGTACTCTTTCCAGCACTTGATCTTTTAAGTGACTATGTCTTTTTCTTGAATTTCTTTAGTCTTGTTATGGAATGACATCACAGCTAGGCATTTTAAGTCATGCCTTATATGTGTATACAGTAGTCCTCCCTTATCTGGGGGGATAAATTCCAAGACCTCCCAATGGATGCCTGAAACCGCAGATAGTACCAAACCTAATATATACTATGTTTTTTCCTGTACACACATACCTATGATTAAAGTTTAATTTGTAAATTAGGTCCAGTACTCTTGCTCTTTGGGGCCATTGTTAAGTAAAATAAGGATTATCTGAACACAAGCGCTGTGATAACGGCAACAGCTGATCTGATGACCGAGATGGCTACTAAGCGGCTGATGGGCAGGTCACATCCACAGCGTAGGTTCGCTGCACAGAGGGAGGATCCATGCCCACGGTGGCACAGCTCAAGATTTCGTCATGCTACTCAGAATGGCACGCAATTTAGAATTTATGAATTATTTCTGGAATTTTCCATATAATATTTTCAGTCCATGGTTAATTGTGGGTAATTGAAACCAGGGAAAGTAAAACCTCAGATATGGGGGGACTAGTGTATATATATATTTTTCTTAGTCTCCTTGCTAATCCCGATGAGGAGGAAAAAGAGTGGTGTTGAGAGATCTGACTGGAAGGAGATTACAAACTACGTTGTCAATTCTTGAGACTATTCCATGAGCCCCATGAAAAACTCTCTAGGTCTGTTCCTCTCAGAGCATTAAATAATTCTCTTTTGCTTCTAATATAGTCCCATGATTTTATTTCCTAAGAAACTTGAGGAAGTTTACAGAACTATTTGTCCATCCACTTGGTCATCTGCCCACCCAGGAGCTTACATGGTACAGTCAAAACCACAACGTATCCCTTGGGCTTCAGAGCAGAGCACGCATCCTCAGATGATTGTTGTTGTACATAGAAAATAGGGAATACAGCTAAGATGAACACCAGGGAGCTCCCAAATGGCAGTTCCATTTTCATTCCTTCATTAAAATTATAAAACCCATCATAATTCACGGTTAGCAATAAACATGATCATTGTGCTACATCGTAAACCACACCTTCTGATCGACAGAAAATGAGAATGATAATATTATAAAATAAAATAACAATGATAATAATGCCATAACTTAAGATCTTTCATGTAGTCCAGCTACAGAATTTATACAAAATGGAATAATTTAATGCAAACAATACTGCTTTCTGTATAAGTTAAACGTTTTCCTTCATTCTACCTAAGAACTATAAATCATAGACAATACATTTTAAATCAATGTCTCAACATAAAGTGTAAACAACTGGAGGGATCAAACAAGCAAAAGGAACTGCTCTAAATTCCCTTCTGCTTTTCCTTTTTGGCTGATGCAATTAGTGAAACCCAGAGAAGGGGCAACATTTTCATCTGGAAATGGTAATAGCTGTCCAAGCAAGTCTTTCCTAACGTTCAACATGATGTGGTGTCAGTTTAGAGAATCAAGAGCTTGTTGGATAGTAATCTATCTTGGAGACACAGACAGGAACTAGGTCAACATCTATTTGTAAATGAAATTCTAGATAGAATTTTCCTTAAAGCCAAGGCACCATGAAGAAGTACCTTGGGATGCTTTTCAGAGGCTGTTACCCTGGAGACAGGAAGGCCCTCCTGCTTTTGACAATGTAAAAATATTTCCAATCCTTGCTCAGCATCACTTGTTTTTCTTCCACCAATTTCTAAATCCAGTTATTCAAAACTGCATTGATTCGGAATGAAATAAAAGATATTTTACAAGTAGCATTTAACAAAAATGCTATTATGCTGGGAGAGGAGTTGCCTTTTGCAAGTTGCTTGTTTTGCCTTTATTCTGACAGTGGTAGCCAGTCACTAAAGCTTCCAGGATAGAATGAGTTACTGAATAAAAACAAGGGGATGGTTTGGGATTGGACATTGGATAGACACACACACATCCTAGCTGCCTTCAAACTCTGTTCTCCTATTTGAATCAATATGAATCTAGCAGACAAGCAACCTGGTTCCAGAGAGGGGTGATCCCACCTTCACCATATAGCTCAACTGAGCCATCCTGAGAATGTACTTTTACAATTTCTACATTTGCTTTTTTAACACTGTGTGGATGTTCCTTTTCTCTTATCCTTTCCTTCTCCTCAGCATACCCCACTATGCTTTCTTCCTAAGGGTCAGCAGGTGGAAAGGAAATAAGCTACAAGAAAATGGCACTTGAGTCTGCAAGATCAACACATTTGTCAAGGTAACACATTTGTCAAGGTAAGGACAATGACAGCATTAAAAAGGGAAGTATTTGCCAAGGACAAGGTTTGATACTATCTGTAAGCCTCACTACCAAATGCTGCTTAAAATTTTAAAAATGAAATTAGCTTCCACATATACAGTTTTGTTTTTTTCCTCCTAGAGGAAGTACATGCCCTCGAAGACCTTGGGTGCAAGAATCTGGTCACCAAACTTTTTAAGGTTATTTCTATCACCCAGCTGGACAATCTGGTTGAACTTAATGTGGTCTGTTCACAAGTTGCCTGGAATTGCTTTTCTTTTGCTGTTGCTTAATGCTAAAATGCTCATATGTCTTGCTCTGGCTCTTCTTCAGTCACTTATGGCCAAAAGACCTGGTCCCCTATTCAAGCAGCAATAATACCTCCCAGCCCCACAAATTCCCAAGGATGTTGCTCCTCAATTTCACTTCTTTTTTGCTTTTCTTTCTTTCCTCTCATTTTTTTTGCAAGAAATTATTGTATCTCTCTATATATCATATATAGTTCACTCTTTACAGTACAAAGTGTTAAAATGTCAAACAAAAATAAATATCAATGTTACAGTAGCTAGAATATTCAATAAAATAGATCCCTGCCATTCTTGATTGAAATGTTCAGTGAGACTTAATTTCATTTGGATATTTTTTTCCAGAGATTTGCGAAGTCTCATGTTCCTGTTATTGCAGCTTATTTCTAGGGGTAAAGATAGGGCAGTTCTCTTCCCAGACAGAAAGCAGGTAGAGAGTGGGAAGAGTCTGGGGGTGGGGTGGATTTGAAATGCCAGTATAGTTATGAGATCTTCAGGACGCATACTCCTTCATTACCAAGTAGCGGAGCTGTAGTGTTTGTTGGTCCTAACTGTGGCATCAGAACACTCCCCCTCTGAAGAGTCACAGTCCGATTCTTCAAACTGCATAGGGTTCTGCAAAGTCAAGACAAAATAAAACCTTAATTTATTGCTACAAGCACTCAGTAAGCACGTATTGAACACCTCCCACACGACAGGTGCTGTGCTTGGTGGGGGGCTGCAAAGATAGATGAGATCAGGTCCTGTCCTTGTGGGGCGTATGGACAAAGAAGACCCATGGAGATGATGATGATGACAACTACCACAATCCTAACAGTACCCCACCCCACACACTTACAGAGCGTTTACTATGCTCCAGGCACTGCCCAAGGAGCTTTGCCTCTGTTAATCCACGTGATCCTCACAACAACCCCCATTTTATAGATAAGGAAACTGACCTACAGAGAAGTGAAGTGGCTTGCCTGAGGTCACAGGGTAAGTGGAAAGGCAGTCAGATTCCAGAGTATCCATTTACAACCACTGTGCCATCCAGCCTCTCCGAAGGCGGTATTACATATGTGCCTTTATATATAATGCGCACACACACATATAAAGTGTTACATGTGCTGCGACAGCATCATTCAGGGGACAGTGGGGACATGGAGGAAGGAGGCTCAGACCTTTAACCTTGTTGGAAGATGGGGTCAGAAGGAAGTGATGTTTGAGTTGAATCTTGAAATGAAGGGTTCCTGGGCAGTTCAATGTTTGTGGCTCATTTGGGAGAAACTGCCCTCATTTCTGGAGCTCTGTTGATCTCTGTAGCTCTACTTACTTCACGGAGACAGCTGTATCTTACATGCTGAACGAAAATGTGAAGGCCCTAGGGACTTGAAAGTATCTAACTGGAAAGAGCTAGGAAGGGAACAGCGAAGACGAGAGAAGGGAGAAGCGAAACCCCCACCTCATAGCCACGTTCCTCCGCACACAGCTTGCCCAGCGACATCTGCGTCTTCACGCGGCGCACGGCGCACTCCTTGTCAGAGAGCCCGTCTGAGTGCGAGGATATCTCAATGGGGATCTCTGGCGTCTGGGACAGCAGGTCGTCTAGCTTCTCCGCCAGGCGGTCTTCAAGTTTATCAGCTAACTCGTCAGGACTGTTTGAGTGGTCGCTGGTATTTCCCTCCTCTCCATCGGACACGGAGAAATTCTCAGAGCTGAAAGTGGAGTACGACTGGCAGCTGCTGATGCAGCGATGGGGCCTAGAACCAGGAAGAGCCCGAGGAACTTAATCACGGAACATTTTCGTATCCCTATCTGTCAGTCAGTCTCGGTGAGAGATAATCTAGTTGTTTTTCTACCCCTGAGGAGGACTGAAAATCAGGATAGGTAGAAACGATTTCATTTTAAAGCACTAGAGAGGTGCTATGGACTGAATCGTGTCCCTGTCCCCTCAAATGCAGTGTCGAAGACCTAATGCCCATTGGAACTGTATTTGGAGATAGGGCTTTTAAGGGCAACCAAAATTAAATGAAGTCCTAAGAATGGAGTCCTAATGCGCTAGCATTAGCATTCGTGGCCTTATAAGAAGAGGAAGATCCCTCTTCCGTCTCCTGTCTTCCCTTTCCTCCCCCTCTTTAAGTGTGAGCACCGAGGAAAGGCCCTGTGAGGACACAGGGAGGAGGCAACTGTCCACAAGCCAGGCAGGGTGTCCTCACCCGAAACCAATCCCTCTGGCATCTTGATCTTGAACTTCCTAGCCTCCAAAACTATGAGAAATAAATTTATGTTGTTTAAGTCACCACCTAGTCTGTGGCATTCTGTTATGGCAGTGTCCAGGGTGACTGACACAAGAGGGAAATTTAAATTTCTCTTTCATTTGGTTTATATGTTTATGTGCCTAAACACTACACTCCAAGCTGATGGCTACCACTGGTCTTTGAAAAAAAGTCAGCTTGTCTAATCACACCGTGTACACGGATGCATAGATGGAAATGTCCAAACTGAAATTATGGCTCCTTCTTCAGAGAGTCAGAGAGTCTCAGAGGTGAAAGAGACTTTGGAGATGCTCTCACTTATTTCCCAGATGAGATAACTAGAGCCAGAGAAGGGAAGTGACTTGTTCAAGGCCACACCATCAGAGAAGGTAGAGCTGAGGCTTGGGACAGGTCTACTCACACCTCAGTGTCCTTCTCTACCCCCCACCTCCACCCCAGCTGCATTTCCCAGAGCCCAGTGTCCCCTGGACACAGAGGCCCTGGAAGGCCAAGTGCCTTCACCACCCCTGTTGACTGACCCCCAACAGAAATGAGCTTGGCAGGAACATTCACTCTGCAGCTGTGAGCCTGCCCAGCTACTGAGTGAGTGGCTCATTCCAGTTAACATCTGGGTTTAGCTCTGATGAACCAAAGCTTCTTGGGAGAGAATTTGCAAACGGTCCTCATTTTCCCATTGTTTACAAGTAGCTATTTCTGGCCTTTACATTTTCCTATTGTTTACAAATAAGAATGCTGTTAGCTTACATTGGCTTAAAAAACAAAACAAACAAAACAAATATTAAAAAGAAGATTGCCTTTTTCTTCTGCTATTGTCTGATTTTTCTTTTCTTTTCTTTTTTTAATTTTTTTTTTGAGACAGAGTCTCACTTTGTTGCCCAGGCTAAAGTGAGTGCCGTGGCGTCAGCCTAGCTCACAGCAACCTCAAACTCCTGGGCTCAAGCCATCCTCCTGCCTCAGCCTCCTGAGTAGCTGGGACTACAAGCATGCACCACCATGCCTGGCTAATATTTTTCTATATATATTAGTTGGCCTATTAATTTCTTTCTATTTATAGTAGAGATGGGGTCTTGCTCAGGCTGGTTTTGAACTTCTGACCTTGAGCAATCCACCCGCCTTGGCCTCCCAGAGTGCTAGGATTACAGGTGTGAGCCACTGCACCCGGCCTTGATTTTTCTATATTTCTTAGTACAAAGAAATTTTGATGGGAGATGATCTAGGCCAGGCTGCTACCCAGGCCAGGTGATCGGGTGAGAGTTGTCCTTTTTACATTAAGGACATGTGAAAAGAGGCCATCAAGAGGCCAGAAATACCTCTTGAAAGAAAGAGCAACCCTGTATTCTCCTGAAAGTGAAGCAGTTGCACAAGGTTATTGTGTATGCAGCCTGAGCTTAAAAGGCTGTGCCCATTTCTTTGAAGAATCAATTATTGTTAGACCTTGGTAAAATTTCTAACTTTGTAGCCTGGAGAAAGAAAATAAAATCTTTAACATAAAAAATAAATAAAAAGGCTAGAAATAGCAGAGGATGAGAACAGATTTCAATTTTATGCACAGTGTAGGGATCCAGAATACAATTTACCAAAGGGCTAGGAGTCCCTTGCTGTGTTGGGAATTCCTGTTTTGGGCCAGGTACACAAACCTGCCTGGGGAGATTCTTAGAGCCTTACTCTTTAAGAAGAGAATGTCTATTAGCAGAAAAAGGACTCCTAGGAGGAAAACTACTCCCCTTCTTCTTCCCCACTTCTACATAGGTGAAGGTTTTATTCTAGAAGTAAGGGGAGATGGCCCTTCTTTAATCCTACCAGCAAAATTATTATTGCCAGCTAAGCAGAAAGCTATTTCTAAGCTAGGTGAAGGGGGACTCAACTTATCTAATCATGCTTAACTTGAGGTGTAAAATCCGAGGCACAGGGAATGCTATGGACTGAACTGTTTCTCCTGAAAGGAGGTAATTAAGGTTAAATGAGGTCATAAGGGTGGGGCCCCCAATAAGACCGTGACTTTATAAAAAGAGGAATCTCTCTCTCTCTCTCTCTGCCACATGAGGACACAGTGAGAAGGTGGCTGTCTGCAAGCCAGGAAGAGAGCCCTTACCAGGAACCAAATCAGATAGGACCTTGATCTTGGACTTCCCAGGCTCCAGAACTAAAAAATACATCTCTGTTGTTTAAGTCACCCCGTCTGTGGTATTTTATAACAGCCCAAGCAGACTAACACAGGGACATCCACTAGAAACCAATAAAATTAACCACAAAACAGCATGGCCATCCTTACAAACTGCCCACTGTATTCTCGATTGTAACTTTGAATCTGTATTTACACTCTTCATCTTGAAATTCCTATGAAATGAATTCTGATGAACTAGGATCTGCTGTGTATGATCAACTGCCAAAATGGGGGATGGGAAAACATGAACACAGTGAGTTCAAATTTCCCTGTAAGGTGACTGTCAGAGAGTGACTCCTGGTTGCATACCGGGTGTCACAAACTTGGGATTTTTCCCCATTACACCGAAAGTAATCATGTGTGTTTGTTGGTTTTACCTCTGTCTTCGTGGAAATTCAACTTCACTATCTACTTCCCCTTCTTCCTCTTCTGAGGAGTCATCTCCACTCTGAGAAGGACAAGGAGAAAAAGAGTTTATTTTAATGTTTCTCTCTCATCCTCACCTCCCACTATCTGTAAAAGATTTAATTATCATCAAAAGGCACTGAGTAGTAGCTTGCTGAATGTCATCTTTATTTTTATTTTTTAGAGACAGGGTCTTGTCCTATTGTCCAGGCTGGTCACAAACTCCCAGGCTCAAGTGGATCCTCCCACTAGGAGGAGCAGAGAATGGATTAGCCCAAGTCAACTGCACAATCTGAAACACAATTTACTCTCTGGGAATGCTTAGTCAACATAGTAGCAGCAGTGTGTGTTGAGGAGGAAATATAGTTCTGAAACAGTAGCCCTCAGCTTTAACTTCTTTTCTACTAAATGCCCTGTTGACCTAACATACTCAGGTACATTTTATACCCTTTCATTCCCTCAACTAAATTCCTGATGAATGATGATGATGACATGAAACAATAATTAGAATTGAGTGGGTGTCTACCATGTTCTAAATACTTTTCATACATAATCTTGTTTTTTTAACTCATTAGCAAAATGAGCTAATATTTTTGGAAGGGTGCTATGTTCCAGGCCCTGTTCTAAAAGCTTTATATGTATTAACTAATTTAATCCTCACATCAACCAGTGAGGCAGAGTCCAACATTAGATCCATTTTATAGGCAAGAAAACAGAAGTTCACAGAGGTACTAAGTGGAGGGGAGCTTGGCTTTGAACTGAGATCCATCAGACGCTCAAGTTCATGATCTTTCTATGGTAGTCTGTCTCCCTGCTGATAAACCCCAGGCAGTCGGTAGATAAAGAGGAGAAAAACAGGTTTCAAAGACTAAGAACTGGCTGGGTCATGACGGTTATTGATTAAAGCAATGCTTTCCAAAGTATACTGTGAAGAAAGCTAGTTCCATGGGGGATTAACAGACTTTATTTTTTAAAGGCTGTATGGTCAAATAGCTGAGGGAAATGCTGGATTAAATAAGGATACTGCGTGATTTCTCAAAGCCTATGATTTATTAATGTACACTAAGAATCTGCAAGAGAGGACAGAGAACACTATGTTTCTCAAACTTATTTTATCATGGGATCCTTACTTTTTGCAACGTCCCTCAGGACTAGGGTTCTAGGGGAGTGTTTCCAAACTCTTTTGATCACATATCTCCAATATATGGTTATCTATTTATACATTATATATGTTTGGGTCCATACTCAAGTTCAGTAGTTCCTAAAGTATATTCCCTGGTCCATCACGTAAGCAGTGTGGGAAGAAAGCATTTAAAGTAAAAGAAACATCTACTTATGTTTTTGTTATCTCATCCTTTTACAAAATACATTTTTTTTTTTTTTGAGACAGAGTCTCACTTTGTTGCCCAGACTAGAGTGCCATAGTGTCAGCCTAGCTCACAGGAACTTCAAACTCCTGGGCTCAAGCGATCCTACTGCCTCGGGCTCCGAGTAGCTGGGACTACAGGCATGCACCGCCATGCCCAGCTATTTTTTATATATATATATATTTTTAGTTGGCCAATTGATTTCTTTCTATTTTTAGTAGAGACGGGATCTCACTCTTGCTCAGGCTGGTCTCGAACTCCTGAGCTCAAATGATCTACCCACCTCAGCCTCCCAGAGTGCTAGGATTATAGGCATGAGACACTATGCCCAGCCAACAAAATGCATACTTTTTACGTATGCTTTATAATGCGCATAGCATGATAGGCTTTGACATTCTTTGAAGGCAGTGACACAGACTGTTCTTGTCATTATACTTTACCTTCTGAAGAGGCCTTGTTTTTCGAGGTAGCACTGGGGGAGTGATGTGATGATGGGTGCCAAGGGATGACGCAGACCTGCAGCTGTTGAATCCATTTTCTTCCATCTTCTCAGAACCCTGGGCATTTTCCGAGAGGGGATTGTGTGCTGGTGACTTGGAAAGGTTGGGGCTCCTCCCGACTGGCTCAGCAGAGGGTGTGTCCAAGGACCCAGACTGTCCTGGCCTGCACTGGAGGCAGGGGTCATAGGGGCCAGCGTGGCCCCTGTCTGGTTCTGGACTTCTCCAGCAATCTGCCACCATGGCTGTGGAGATGAGGTCAGGGCTCGAGCCAGGCATCTGTCTCTGGGCGTGGTTGCTGAGTGGGCTCCGCAGGGCTGCTGCTGGGCCGAAGTACCTCAGGTTGTTAGCGCAGGTTGCGATGTCCTGTCCATGCATGTTGAGTCTGGGATGGTGACTCTGAGACATGGCAGGAGGGGGTTGCTGGTATTGCTGCTGCGGAAGATTACGGTGATGGAGAGAAGGGTACTGGGATTGAGCTTGGTGTAGGTGGGTAGGGTGGGGTGAATTTTCCTGGGCTGGCTGGTTTTTCAGGATTGCTGCAAAGTCACCATGGCTGCCTCTGCTATTCCCCCGGCGGTGGCGAGGTTTGCATCGATATCGGCTCTTGCTGCTTGAGGTGGACATTTTGGGACTTCCGGACAAAGGGGATGCTGTGGGAGCCACTTCTGTACTGGGGATGCCTTCAGATCTCAACAGATCTGGCCTGGGAGAAAAGTACAGGGTTAGTTTTAAAGACATAGAAATACATTCAAGTTTGGCGAAATGTATCCCAAGCCTTAAAATATACATGCCCTTTGAATCAGCAGTCACAAATACAGGGATTTATCCAATAGAGATAACATATGTGCAACAAAGATGTATGTTTGATGATGTTGTGTTACAATATTCTTTAGCATAGTGGAAAATAACATAACTGTCCACATATAGAGGATTTCCACAATTCTCTCTAGATTTTATTCTGTGCCTCACCAGCCTAGGTCGTCAATCCTCTTTATTTTTATTTGACATATTTTTTTAGAGACAGGATCTCACTCTGTCCCCCAGGCTAGAGTGCAGTGGCATGATCATAACTTGCTGTAACCTCCCATTCCTGGGCTCAAGTAATCCTCCCACCTCAGCTTCCTGAGTAGCTGGGACTACAGGCATGTACTATTATGCCGGGCTAATTTTTCTATTTTTTTATAGAGACAGGGTCTTGCTATGTTACACAGGCTAGTCTCAACTCCTGGCCTCAAGTGATCCTTCTGCCTTGGCCTCCCAAAGTGCTGGGATTATAGGTGTGAGCCACTGTGCTCAGCTTCAATCCTCTTTAAATTATAATTCTACTCTACAGGTTTCTTGATCTCTTCCTCATTACCCTAGCTGTCAGCTTGGTGCCAATATGCCAAGGTATGGGCATGGATGTTTGCTCATCATCAGAAATCTGTCTGATAATGGATCTGGGCAGATCTCCCAAGGGATAAAGGAAAGAGGTCTGGTATTAGAAAAGGAAACCTGGGTCAATTAGGTAAGAGGCTAAGTTCAGAGACTTTGGCCTGGATATGGTCTCCTTAAGGGCCAGGAATATGTGCTATCCATCTTTGTATGTGATGGCCCCTAGTAAGGAGACTTACTCACAGTGGGTACTCAATAATTTTTTTTTTCTTTTGAGACATAGTCTCACTCTGTTCCCTGGACTAGAGTGCTGTGGCATCAGCCTAGCTCACAGCAACCTCAAACTCTTAGGCTCAAGCAATTCTTCTGCCTTAGCCTCCCAAGTAGCTAGGACTACAGGCATGCGCAACCATGCTTAGCTAATTTTTTCTATATATTTTTAGTTGGCCAATTAATTTCTTTCTATTTTTAGTAGAGACAGGGTCTCCCTCTTGCTCAGGCTGGTTTCAAACTCCTGACCTTGAGTGATCCACCTGCCTCGGCCTACCAGAGTGCTAGGATTACAGGCGTGAGCCACCGTGCCCGGCTCTCAATAAATTTTGAAGGAAGGAAAAGAGGGGAGAGTTCAGAGAAGGGGGAGAGGCAGCAAGACGAGGGCTACTGAGGAGTGATACTGCCATTTATCTTTGATCCTAAAAGGAGGATGTCCTCTCACAGCTCTGTTTTCAAATGCCTACCAGGCCAGGCACTAAGATCATATGCACCAGAAAGCCAAAGGCCTAAAGGTAAACCTTGCCCACACTAACTCCAAGGCCCACAGATAAACCATAAATGGTTTCTGAACTGCTGAACTGATTCAGGGCAGAGCCTCTAAGATTACTAGGAAGAACCGATACTTTCTTCTTACCAGTAGTAGGAAGTAGCCTTACCCTTCTTTGGGACCAGACAGACACAAATCAGCAGGAGATTTTGGAGCTGGAGGGTCCAAACTTTTTTGTTTTTTAACAACAAAATTATTTTCTCAAATTAATTATTATAAGAAGCCCAGCATATAAAACAGATACAGTGGAACTGGTTGGCAGGGGAGTGAGCAGAAGCCCCTCCCTGCAGGGCTTCCCTCCTCACCCTTTCTGCCCCTGCAGTGGCCTCTGAGACACCCCTGTGCAAGCCATTGTGTATTCTAGACCTTGCCTGGAAACCACAGATAGAGGCCTGCCTCCCCCACATGTGATGAAGAACCCAAAACCCAGCCAAAGTGGCTCATGGTCTCATAGCTCATTAGTGGTAGAATCCGACAAAAAGTCTCTCCTAATTTTCAGCCTAGCTTATCGGACAGTCTGAATACAAACTTGAAGGCACATACAATTCACTTGGGGAGATTATAAAAATGAAGATTTTGGCTGGACGTGGTGGCTCACGCCTGTAATCCTAGCTCTCTGGGAGGCCGAGGCAGGTGGATTGCTCGAGGTCAGGAGTTCAAAACCAGCCTGAGCAAGAGCGAGACCCCGTCTCTACTATAAATAGAAAGAAATTAATTGGCCAACTAATATATATAGAAAAAATTAGCCGGACATGGTGGCGCATGCCTGTAGTCCCAGCTACTCGGGAGGCTGAGGCAGAAGGATTGCTTGAGCCCAGGAGTGTGAGGTTGCTGTGAGCTAGGCTGACGCCACGGCACTCACTCTAGCCTGGGCAACAAAGTGAGATTCTGTCTCAAAAAAAAAAGAAGATTTTGATTTAGTAGGTCTGGGGAGGGGCCTAAGAGTCTACAATTTTAACAAGCTCTCAGAGGTTGCTATATTAAGGACCACACTTTGAATAAATAGCCAGAGCTCACAATAAATAAGTAGGTATCAGACAGCTTTAGGTGAGTTTTTCTTCTTTTATAGGAAAAGTACAGTTAAAGGCTTGTCTAGCACAGAATTTCCAGGTTTTATGGGTTTATGATAAGGTGGGTAGATATTGTGCTGCTATCAGGAGCTTCCTGTCCCAGATTCAAAACTCTATGGTGCTGCAGAAAGTGCTTGGTTCCTACTATTAGTATATCCATTTTATAGGTAAGGACACTGAGGATCAGAGGTCAGATGGCTTGTGTCCATCACAAAGCTAGTAAATGACAGAACTTGTAACTTGAACCCATCTTTTCACTCCAAGGCATAGTTCTTTCCCCATTTCAAGCTTCTCCTTAAGGAGTCTTTAGGCTACATTACTGGACTATACTCCCTTGTGACAGGCTTGAAAGATCTGTAATTGAACTCAACATTCTTCAATTTAGTGTTCAGTCCCTAACTGAACACAAACTGAAACCTAGACTTAAGGATGCTGAATGATTTCTCCTCTGTGATCTCCAAAGTCTCTGGACATCGACATGGTAATCACTGGACTGTCCAAAAAATCTGAAACTTAAATCCTTCAAGGGGCAATCAACCGATGGTATGACTCTTTGCAGGTTGCCTTCCTTGTGTTCAGCCAGTTTATTGATGTGGTGTCTACTGGTGGTGTCAAACTCTCTCAAACATTTCTCACAGCTAAAATAAAAGTAAACATGAGCTCATATTTTGAAAAGTTAAATAGTTCTATTTTCTCCCCAGTGCTCTTGATTTTAACTGTTAGCAGAATGCAAGGGGAGACAGCAGACAGACTCTGTCCCTAATTAGTACAACAAAAGAAAAGAGTTGGGATTTCCCCTGATGGTTGTGCCAGGTGCCATCTGAAAAAAGTTGCTTGGAATTTGACCAGAAGATGATTAGAGGGGCAGTTAATAAAAGCAAAATTGGATTAATCCATGTAGTTACTCATTAGTAGTTTAGGTTTGAATTGGTCATGCTAGGTAGAATGCTCACCATTCTGATAGCCTTCTAATACATTCTTGGTTTGTGTTTTCTCATTTCCTTTATTCTTACTGCAGTTAGCTCAAGTCTCTCTATTGAGTCTGCACGCAGGTTTAGGGACATTTCTTTCGTTTATATTAACTTAGCTAGGATAGAGCCAATTTGGTGTTATTTGGAATGAATGAGACTCTACAGAGTTTGGTAATAAAAAAATCAGTGGAAAAGAATTCCAAGATTAAACTAATATAAGGCAAATGTGTAGGAAAAAGGGGAAAGTGCAATCTTTTTTAACTATTCAAAAAAAACCATTTTTTGATTTGATAGGTGATTTTACATGTTATCTTACTTAAACTTCACAAAAATCCCCTGCAGGGGTGAGATGAGGGGAACTATATGGTTAGATATAGGTAATTATCAAAGCTTCAGCTTTTGTTTGGGGTGGTGAGTTTGTAGGCACTTATTCCATTATTAAAGAGAACTAATTAAATGTATAAACAAAAGAGGGTCATGCATGGATCACTGTGTCATAAATCAAGAATTATGATTAATTCAGTTCTGTGTCCTGGAGTTCATAAAAATAAAAATAAATCTCATGTGCTATAATTATACCATTTTACCCATGAGAACACTGGGGTTGAAAGGAGTCAAGCCACACAGCTTACAGAGCAGAGCCAGCATCTGAATCCTGGTCTGCTGGCCTCCAGTTTATTTCTCCTTCCACTATTCCATGCTAGGATAATACATATCTGTGCCTCAGATAGTAAAGGCTAGATTCCTAGAGGCCATGACGCACCCTCTCACCTTCCTACTCTAAAGAGCTGAGTGTGCTAACGACGAGCTGCAGAGGTGGCCACATCCAGCATCCTGTGAGAGGGGATTTTTAGGGGCTATTTTCCCGTTTATCTGAGTGTCACATTGGTGCGGCTGTCTCACCGTTTGGTCTGCACCCCAGGTTTGTGAGGCACACCTTTCCTTTTCATAAGTTTCTCCATGGCATTGGGGTGGATTATTGGGCGGACAGGGTGTCGTTTGTAGGTCCCAGGATATTTCTTTTCCACCGCTTGCTCACGCCTGCAGAAAGAAAGAAAGAGTCACATCTCAGTCACTGCAGAAAGGATGGGCAAAATGTTTTCACAGGCTAATTCTACCTACAGGTTCTGGCCACACTTAAGAGAAATAGGCATTTGAATAACAAGCCTGCTATTCAGGTTAAAAAAATAAACCAAGATACCAAATTCAAATTAAGCTGACTTCATTCACCCTTTAGCTCATGAATTCAGATGCTGACATTGACTGTCCCTTCCCCAACAAAATACAGTGGCAGAAGTCCTGCTTATTTTCAGTAGCTGCTGTTTTGGTCAGGACCCCAGAGTTTTCTGGCCACCAACAGGAATTCCTTAAGCCACTTTCAGGAGCCAACTTGCTTCCCCAAGGGGCAATAAACTCCCTCTTATCCATTCCAAGCTCTTCTTGAAATGAGGGCCTCTTCTCTGAGCTATGCAACAGGCTGAAGTGCAAATGCCTGTCAAGTGTGCATTCCCCAATAACTTGCTCTGCAGGATTCCACTAATCTGTACACCTCTCCAGGGCAGGGACCTGTGCACAGCACACCCCTTAAAGAATGCTGAATGAATGAATAAAATATTGCCAATTCTAGTAGCAGCAACATGGAAGAATAGTATATTTCTGCTTATTGAGAGACTCAAGTCAGTAAGGACAGACACTGGCTGGATACATACTTAATGAGCTCCTTCTCCCGCATTTCTAGCTGCAGCATGATGGCACTCAGTTCCATGTACAGATTATTAGCCCGCTCAAGCTTTCTCTCATAGTGTTCACGAATATCCAAAGCATGCCTATCAAAGAAAACACAGGATCAGTGGGCCAGCTAACTTAGGGGAGAACAAGTTCAGCTTAATGAAATAAGAAACAGGAGGGTTTATGGCAAAAGCATTTGCTCAAGGTCCCCCTCTTTTTAAGGCTCCCTTGTCCAGTGCAAGGACTCAGACAAGGTGGAGCAGGAGATGGGAAATCTAAGCTCCCCACTTGGTTTATCCTTAAGGGTCCATCCACCCATTCAGGATAGCCACGAGGGCCACAGACCAAATCTGAATGTGATTTGTGTATAATTCGTAGCCTTCACTTTTGTAGTATTGGCAGTATCTCAATGAGAATACAGTATAATATATGTTAATAGAAATATGTAGTTAAAATCAACACCATGATCACTCATTTATACTTTTCTGTGGCATAGATTCTACTATAGTGGTTGCTATGGCCTGAATGTTTGTGTCCCCCAAAATTCATATGTTGAAACCTAACACTGAAGGTGACGGTATTAAGAGGTGGGGCCTTTGGGAGGTGATTATGTCATTAAGGTTCTACCCTTATGAATTAGATTAGTCCCCTTATTAAAAAAAAGAGGCTTGAGGGAACTTTTTTGCCCTTTTGCACATGAAGACACAATGTGTTACCATCTGTGAGAAACAGGCCCTCACCAGACACTGAATCTGCTGGTGCCTTGATCTCGGACTTCCCAGCTGCCAAAACTGTGAGCAATAAATTCCTGTTGTTTATAAATTACCCAGTCTAAGGTTTGTTACAGCAGCTGGAACTAACTAGGACGTGATTGTCTGTGAATATGCCTTTTATCCCTTGGATTATAAGCACCTTGAAGCTAGGGACTGAATCTTATACATTTCTGTCCTTCCACGGCACCTAGGACAAGGACTGGATGAACCAATAGCATTGCTCCAGGAATCTTTGCTGCAGAGATATGATAAAAGAGGATGACAGAGTTGGGAGGAGAGGATAAGAAAGAGATACAGAAAAGGGTTAACTTTTAGGGAAACTTTTGAAGAGCATAACAATAAAAAAGCAGAGATGAGAGGTGTATAGAAAGTGAAATGCTGTTTCACAAAGAGGGTTCTTGCTAATTTCTAAACAGCTGGGGATGAGAGGAGGCGAGAAGGAGAGACCAGCTGACCTGAGTTCCTCTCTGCGCCGTCGGATCAGTTCTTCATCTAATCGGTGTATACACGTTCCTTCGCTTTTGATCTTCTCAAAATGCTTTTTCACCTCTTCTCTCCATTCAGCCTGGGTGAGGACAAATTAAATTTTGTTAATACTCTAGGAGTTTTTCTTTCTTTCTTTCAGACAGAGTCTCCCTCTGTTACCCCTGCTAGAGGGCAGTGGCGTCATCATAGCTCACTGTAGCCTCAAACTCCTGGGCTTAAGCCAGGGGTCCTCAAACTTTTTAAACAGCGGGCCAGTTCTCTCACTGTCCCTCAGACCATTGGAGGGCCGTTAGAGAGTGCAGTGCACATTCCACACATGCACACTGTGGGCCCAGGACAAGTTGGCTGCTAAGCAGGACAGGCAATGGTGGCAAAAACACCCGGTGGGCCATATAAATCTCCTCGGCGGGCTGCATGGTGGCTGCAGGCCATAGTTGGAGGACCCCTGGTTAAGCAATCCTCCTGCCTCAGCCTCCCAAGTACCTGGGACTACAGGCACATGCCACCATGCCTAGCTAATATTTTCTATTTTTCGTAGAGAAAAGGTCTTGATTTTGCTCAGGGCTGGCTGGTGTCAAACTCAAGCGATCTTCCTGCCTTGGCCTCCCAGAGTGCTAAGATTACAGGCATGAGCCATGGTGTCCGGCTATAATATTCTGGGAGTTTCAATCCCTGATATACCCATGTATATCATGTACAAAATATCATGTAAAAGATTTTTTTCCTGCATGATTCTAGCAAAGAGCCTTATTCAGAATAGATGTCCAGGGCTGGGCATGGTGGCTCACGTCTGTAATCCTAGCACCCTGGGAGGCTGAGGTGGAAGGATTGCTTGAGATCAGGAGATGGAGACCAGCTTCAGCAAGAACAAGACCCTATCTATACTAAAAATAGAAAGAAATTAGCTGGTCAACTAAAAAAAAATTAGCTGGGCGTGTTGGTGCACGCCTGTAGTCCCAGCTACAGACGCCACGGCATTCTAGCCTGGGCTACAGAGCAAGACTCTGTTTCAAAAAACAAAACGAACACACACAAAAAAATACACAATAGATGTCCAATAAATATTCATTGATTGAGAGCAGAATATCTCATGCTACTGTATCCACATACTCTACCCCATTTTCTACATTTCTACTCCAATATATGATGCTGTCTTTTCCCCAGTTTTCCCGCAGCACTGGCCACCAGAAATATCACAGCTGGCATACTGGCCATCATTTCTGGAACAAAAGAGCTCAATTTAAGTCAGGACGGTGGCTGAGATAGCCTAGCCAGAAATAAAAAGCTCTGATAACCACATGGTTACATGGATGTGTCCGTGAGAATATGAACATCTTTACAATTGGCACCAGAATTCCTCCTAGGCTTTATTTAGGAAACTATCTTGAGAAAATATTTAGAGTAGAAGACCCTGAGGGCATGAGCAGCAGGAGATGGGAGTAAAATACAGGAAACTATCAGGATTCTGGAGTTGAGAGAAAGAACAGAAAAAGGAGAAGAATGAGGAGGAGGAGGAGGAGAGAGAGTACAGCTAAGCAATTCAGTAGTCTGACAAATATTTTAGGATAGAGATGGATGCCTAATATGTGATGTAAATTGTTTAAAATTTAAAATTCTTCCAATTTCACAAATCTTCAATAAAGTCTCTGAGATTCACCTTGGCTTTAGATGAGTATTTTTATTTATTTGTTTTGTTTTTAGAAATTAAGGAAAGCTGCTGAATTTCACATTTGACCAATGCTAGGACAAAAATAAAGGAGCAACTATAAGGCAGCAGGGGTGAGGGCCAAGAATTTTAGGAAGCCAGGGCCACAGTGGTCATGAAACTATAGTTCTCCCAAGAATTTACAGAAGTATAAGGAAGGACATTAGACTTTCTACAAGGCATGGAATTTTAAACCAATTTTAGGGAAAGAGAAAACTTCTGTTAAAATATGGTCTATAGGCAGTTTCTAGAAAAACAGCTAAAAGAAGTTTCCTCATATTATGAATAGACTACCATTCCAAGGAGCTAATGAGATTAAGATAATTTCCAGTGAAGGCTAGATGTGTAACTAAATGTCTCTAATTGTATAGTCTTCCCCTAAAACTATTCTATTACCTTTAGGTTCACGTTATAAAGTATCTCTCTGAATGATATTATAGTTCTATTTTTTTAATAATTTTTTTCCTCTCCTTATTTATATTCCTTCAACATGTTACTACAATATAGTTCTATTTTTAATTTGGTGAGGAACCTCCATACTGTTTTCCATGTTAGCCACACCATTTTGCATTCCCATCAACAGTGTACAAGTGTTCCCATTTCTTCACATCTTTGCCAACACTTGTCTTTTTTTTTTTTTTTAAATAATAACAATCCTAGCAATTCTATTTTCGGTATTTATCCAAAAGAACTGAAATCAGAATCTCAAAGAGATATTAGCATTCCCATGTTCATTGCACTATTCACAATAGTCAAGATAATCTAAGCTATTTAGATAACCTAAGTATCTATCAATGGATGAATGGATAAAGAAAATGTATATACATACAATAGAGTATTATTCAGCCTTAAAAAAGAAGGAAATTCTCCGTTATGTAACAACATGAATGAACCTCTAGAACATTATGCTAAGTGAAGTAAGCCAGTTACAGAAGAACAAATATCGTATGATTCTGCTTATATGAGGTATCTAAAATAGTCAAACTCACAGAGTCAGATATAATGATCGTTGCTAGGGGAAGGGGAAATGGGGAATTGCTAATCAATGGGCATACAGTTTCAATTATGCAAGATGAATACATTCTAGAGCTAGATAAGCTATACAACATTGTGCCTATAGTTAACAATAGGCACATATACTGTACACATAAAATTTGTTAAGAGGGTAGAACTCATGTTAAGTGTTCTTGCCACAGTAAAAAAAGAGTATCTCTCTGGATCATGGAAGAAGCTATTCTTACGTAATTGTGGATTTTTAGAACATTCTCCCCAAATTAGCTGTTTCTCGTCTATTTTTATGGAGGAGATTATATTTTAATTATTTATAAAATGATTGTCCTGCTTATCTGTTTATAATGTGCTAGATTTTCATGTTGTTCATTAGAGATAACAACTGGAGATAAGTTTCTGCCAGTTGGTTGACTTTTAGGCACCGAACCTGCCCAAATAGGCATCACAAAGTGAAGTTCCAGAATACACTACCCCTTCATTTGATGATCGTCTTTGACAGCAACTGAGCAGTAAAGGAAGGTTTGGTTGAGGCATAGGTAATGCTGTTCTCTTAATCATGAGATTGAAGTCATGGAGTAGGAAGAGTAGCTTTAAGAGTCCAAAAATGACAAGCAAATGTTGACCAAAGAAGGATAAGGGAGCGGGTCAGATTTGGACCTTAAGGGACCCTCTTTTGTGTAAAAACAAGTCAGTAGATGCTAGCACAGTACTTAAAGGAAGGACCAAGAAAAGAAATACCTCCCTCTGGTGGTAAGAAATCAAATATCACAGATTACTTTTCTTTTTTTTTTTAATTCTAGAGGAAATAAACCTTCTTAAATCTAGTTTATGGTTATGGCAAACTTAAAGAGAAACTTCTTAAGATTAAAATCTGTAAGAAAGTAGATTTCTTTCCTGGATAGTAGATCCTTTCCTGGATGGTAGATCCTTTCCTGGATAGAGCTGGAACCCATTCTACTAAGTGAAGTATCTCAAGAATGGAAAAACAAGCACCACAACAAGTACTCACCAGCAAATTGGTATTAACAGATCAACACCTAAATGGACATATAGGAATAACATTTATCGAGTATCGGGTGGGTAGGAGGGGGGAGGAGAGGATGGGTGTATACAAACATAATGAGTGAGATGTGCAATGTTTGGGGGATGGTCACGCTTGATGCTCTGACTGGAGCGGGGAGGGGAGTCATGGGCAATATACGTAACCTTAACATTTGTACCCCCATAATATGCTGAAATAAGAAAAAAAATAAGAAAGTAGATTTCCAAAAACAATTTTCCACTGGTCAAGAGGGAACAGAATGAATGGGAAAATACCAGGTACTAATAATGTGTTTTACCCAAAGGCATCCTGTTCTTGGTAGATGTTAATCTGCAGATTTGTCACATATACTTATAATCTTTATGTAGTAGGAGTTCCAATATGAGCTTAATTTGCAATTCAGACATGTCTGGGCATATCTGAAAAAAGGGAGGGATGGCAGGTGTGAAGCCAATTTGCACAGAGACTTCTGAGAGAACATGCCATGAGGGTAGGAAGAGTCCTGCAAGAGGCTGACCTATAACAACGCCACTGTCATAAGAGTGAAGGGGCATTTCCCATTGTTTCACCAAAATACCTGAAAAACACTGGGCCATACCCAGCATTGCTCTGTTATCATTCACAAAGTGTAACTCAACAGGAAAAGGGACAGTTCTCTGCATAAACAGAACAACACGTAGCTCTGGAATCTTGAGAACTCCAGAGCTTCTGTTGCATCAGGAGATGGCAGCTCCCAGTGGGAGGTGGCAGTGCATTGCGGATATGGCAGCATGCAATGGATGCCAACTGGGGACTATGGCCTTTTAGCAGAAAACAGTGATGGCTAACCAACAAAGCAATACCCAGCAGATGCCAGGGGAGGAGACTGCTGTGTCTAGCCAGAGTCAGTGGAAAGCAGAGCAGAAGTTAATACAAGGCTATGTGAGATCACCACTCCTTACTTGGGATTCCCAAAGTGCATGTGTAGGGGGTGAAAGAGTAGGGGAGTGCTGAACAAGGTACTTCAGTCCTGTGTAAGCAGGTAAGGGAAAAATCCAGCGAAACTTGGGTTATTATCATTAGTAATATCTTCTTTATGCCCCAGAAAAGGCCTGGGGAAGTCCATAACATTTAGATAGCTTTTATCTTGTCCAGTCTCCCAGTTATTCAATCACTAGACTAAAGCTGTTATACCTAAAACTTGCTTTTTAAAAAATCTCCCATAATACAGTAGTCCCCCTTTATCCCAGGGATGATGCTCCTCCTTTTTAAATTTATTTGTATACTTTTTTTAAAATTTAAATTTATATTCAGATGTTTTGTGGGTGGAGATACTCCTCTTAAAGCCACTTTCCTGGTAGGTGAACTCACCACCCATTGGGGAGGAAGGCTACGAGAAGCAGGTTGAAACACCAATTTGTAATAAAATGTCTTTTCTGAGAACGGATCTTTGAAATGATACTGGAAGTCAGTGGGGAGATGCAATTCACTTTACAAAAATTTATTTCAGAAACACAATAGCATTAACCCTTTGCACTTGCTTGCTTTTTTCTCATCATCCACTCGACATTATCCACACTTGACATCCAAGTGCAAAGGGTTAAGTGAGACAAAGCTATTGAGAAATAATAAATTAGGTGATACTATAGTTAAATTCTATAAGCATAAAGCTATAATTTAGGATCATCATGTTTATTTCAAAAGTCCTAGTTCCTTCCCTTTTGATACTGCCTGGGTGTGGAGGGGATAAGGATCTTGTATATACTCATCTCCCACCATTCCCTATCCCTAATGATAGTGGTTAGATGACCAATTCTTATGACATTTACAGCATTTTAATTTAATAGCCACAAATTCTTCTCTTTTCCAGATCCATGCCCTTACAATGTGCTGTTCCGGATTCTCTCGTCAAGAGGGGAAGCCTATTTCTCAATGCTTAGAATCTGGATTGGCCTCTGACTTGCTTTGGCCAATGGGATATTAGCAGCCATAATGAAACAGGCTTGAAAATCACTTGTGCATTCAGGCTTGCTCTCTTGCTGCATTTGTTACCCTGGAACACCATGTGAACACACCCACACTAGCCTGCTAAAGGACAGGAAGACACATGGAAGAACTGAAGTGCTCTAGCTAAAAGCCAGCCAATCATTAGACTTGTGAATGAGGTCTTCTAGGACCAGCCAGCCTCCCAGCTGACCTGGCAACTGATGACAAACACATGAGTGAGCCCACTGAAAGCTGGCAGAACTGTCCAGTCCAAATTGCCAACTCACAGAATCGTGAGTTAAATAAATGCTTCTTGTTTTAAGCCATAAGTTTTGGGATAGTTTGTAGTACAGTAGAGGCTAACAGATACATTAAATCATATTTTATTTGGAGCTACAAGGTAGTGCACTTAAAGTTAGAGAAAAGATTCTCTCTGGGCCTAATTCTATCATGGGCTCTTTCTGGCATTTAACTTCTTGCCTCTGTACTTCAGATTTTCTACTTCAAAGAAAGCAATACTTTCATGTAGGTCAGCAGTAAGTCTAATTCAAATGTCCATACATTATAGTTTTCATATCTTCTTTTTCTCTTTTCTCTTCAACAATTTCACCAGAACCCACTATAAGGATGACATTCTGATACATGTTCTTTTCAAATGAGTTAATAATATAAGTGCTTAAAAAACTCTAAAATGTCATATGTGTGAAGTATCATATTTATTGTTCCATAATGAATAGAGTTATATAATTGTTACAACAACAGAATGGCCCCCTTCTAAGAGTTACTCTTTCTCACTGAGAGTTCCTTATCTGTCTGTTCAGTAGCACCTGGCAGAGAGTTTCCCAACCTACCTGAGACTTGAAGTAAGTTTCCTGTGGGGTGGCAAGTACATCTGCAGACGCGATGTCTAAGTGCATGAGTGTCTGCCGAAAAGAAGGTCGGTTGCGAGGTTTACTTTGCCTAAAAGTAAAAAAGACAGTTTGCGCATTTCACAAATTAGGTGCAGGAGGATTAAGATTTTATTCTACTTTATGAAAAAGACTTTTTACTATGAAATGGCTGTATCTCAAAATGGCCATATCTGAGTATAACCGGCTATACTCTGTTATACTCAGTATAGTTCAACTGAACTGTATCTCAGCACAGTTTGGATGTACTGAAGAGCAAGAGGGAAATGTAATTATGAGATACTTCTAATGATGGGAAATCTAGGATCAGTGACTTATTGATAATAGTCCATTAGGATTGGCAAAGAAATAATAGCTATAATTTACTAAGGCCTATTATTTTGAGATAATCTACCAAATTATTTATAAATTTTAATTAATTATAACATATCAACTCTATGAATAGGTGTTTTCTCTATTTTATAGATGAGAAAACTGATACCTTGATGACATGCCCAAAATTGCACAGACAGAAAAGGGCAAAGAGCCAGTATTTGTACCTAAGACTCTCAAACTCCAAGGCTCCTAGTTTTTTTTTTTGTTGAATGGATGCAGTAGTCTTTGGTTCAGAAGTTCTGGGTTCAAGTCCTAACCCATGACTTTTGGGTTAAGCCCTAGTTTCTCTTATATAAAATAGGAATAATGACACTTGTCAAATCTATCCCACACAGTTTTTGCCAGGATCAAAGAAGATATGATAATAGATATTTAAAAAGTTGTAAACCATGAAAGCACTATGCAAATATGTTGGTTTTTGTTTTTGTTTTTATACAGAGTCTCACTCGGTTGCCTGGGCTAGAGTGCAGTGGCATCAGCCTTGCTCACAGCAACTCAAACTCCGGCTCAAGCGATCATTCTGCCTCAGCTCCTGAGTAGCTGGGGCTACAGGCATGCGCCACCATGCCCAGCTAATTTTTTCCTATTTTGTTGCCCAGCTAATTTCTTTCTATTTTTTTTAGTAGAGACGGGGTCTCACTCTTGCTGGTCTGGAACTCCTGAGCTCAAACTAGATGCCCACCTTGGTCTCCCAGAGTGCTAGGATTACAAGCATGAGCCACCTCGCCTGGCCAGTTTTGTTTTGTTTTTGAGACAGAGTCTCACTCTGTTGCCTGGGCTAAAGTGCAGTGGCATCATCATAGCTACAACCTCAAAATCCTAGGTTCTAGTGATCCTTTTGTCTCAACCTCCCAAGTAACTGGA